CCCTCAAATCTTTGCACATTTTCTCAAATCGGGCAATTAATCTGGACACGGCTACCGTCATTTCCTGTTTCACGTTGATTTGTGATCTATACTTGCTTTTGATTTCAGCGACCGCCGAAAAGCCAGCTTCGCGCAAATACCACGTCAGAAATGTAATTAGAATCCGCTGAGCATAATTCATCTTTTATTTAAATGCAAAATACTGTCAATTCAATGCTTTCAAATTGTTATCGCATCTCTTCTTCTGCAGAAGTCAATTCAGACGGAGTGGATCTTGAATCCATGCCAATTTATCAAAATTTTCATTTTATACATATTTCACAAACCAGTTAATTAACTGTGATAAGTGCTCCTCAAACATGTTATTTTATATCTCAATAAAGATCATGATCATTTGACGTCAAAAATTGCTGTAATATTTAAAAATAATCGTTGCCTATATCTTCATTCAATTTTCTCCTTCATACTTTGATTTTTTTATAAAAGTTGATCTTTTTTGCATTGATTTCAATAGGTGGTTCTTCTTTCCCTGTAGAGAGTGATTAAGGGAATTCAGCTTTTCAAAAATGTCGCATTATTATGCCAGTTTTATTTTTAAAAATCGGCATCAGCAAAATATTATGCATCATTATATCTTATTTCTTTAAGAAAAATACAAATTTCTTGCCGCAATTCAAAAGTACGTGATAAAACATTACCACGAGAGAGCCATCGTACAGCAAAGACGAGTTTTCGGCTATCATATCATCACACAGATTTTTTTTTAAACATTGCTTTCAATGGACGAGCTTTTCTCAAATTTACCACATTCACCACACATTCTAACACCTGATTTAGTGCTTTGACGCAAGCGCTTCTGTATGATTTGCTTCGAATAACCGCCTCTAATCCTCCATAGCAACTAGACATGGAGCGAGCTCCATTGGTACAGACACAAAGGCATTTAGGCCAATTTAAATTATGTTCAGTTATGAATGTATCATGAATCTCGAACAGGTCCTGAGCCTTCGCTCATGAAGTGATATTTTTACAAAACATGTCTTCTTTACTATTATTATCATCTTCAAACCGTAGATAGCATATTAAATGAGCCATCCAAATTAGACTCCTTTATTTTTTTTAATTAATTCATCGTTAATATCCTCAGCCATATCTCGTATTCTCCAACTTATTATGTTATTGGACAAAGACACTTTTAAAAGCAGCTTCCCAGCAGACCCATCAACCATGCCTACAGCACCCGGTAGAATAAGTTCTCCTGCGATGGTAGGAGGCTTCTTACATTTCTCGATTCTGTAGGCCACCTTATAAACTGCTAGCAAATCGTTTTTTGGTATTAATGCAGTTTTAAAAAATGTATTTTGTTATTTCTTTTCGTTTTTTAACTTCTACTACTGTTGTGATTAGCTTCTAAATGACGCTTCAATTTAATTTGAAGCATAACCTTTGTTAGTATGTGAGAGATTAAAAAAAATAAAACTCGTGTATCTTCATTATTTTTATTTACTGTATTAACATTAAATTAATATTTAATATTTAATGTGAACGATGAACCTGCAAATCTCTGCACATTTTCTCAAATCGTGCAATTAGTCTAAACATGGCTACCGTCATTTCCTGTTGCATGTTGATTTTCGCTCTCTACTTGCTTTTTATTTCAGCGACCGCCAAAAAGCCAGCTTCGCACAAATACGACGTTGAAAATGGAATTAGAATCCGATAAGCCTTATTCAGCTTTTATTGAAATGCAAAATTATGTCAATTTCATGCTGCAAAATTGTGCTTTCAAATTGTTATCGCAAGACAACTCGATAAGATTCTCTTTTTCAACAGAAGTAAATTCAGATGAAACACTAACGTTAAATGGATCTTGAATCCATTCCAACTTATCGAAATTTTCATTTTGTGCATATTTCACAAACCAGTTTATTAACTGTTATTAGGACTCCTTAAACATGTTCTTTATATCTCAAGAAAGATCATGTTCATTTGACGGCAAAAATTGCTGTAATATTAAAAACAATGTCTACATCAGCCGGTAGAATGAGTTCTTCTGCGATGGTATGATGCTTCTTGCATTTCGCGATTCTGTAGGCCACCTTGTAAGCTGTTAGCAACGCGTTGTTTGGTATTGATGCAGTTTTGAAAAGTTTATTTTTTTGTTGTTTCACTTCTTTTAACTTCCTGCCAACCCTGCTGTGTTGATTGGCTTCAAAATGGCGGTTCAATTTACTTGGAAACATACATTCTGTTGACAAACCTCGCATACACAATACGCATTTTGGTGACATAAAACTAAACTCTAAATAACTGTCATCATATTTACGATATTTTCGTTTCTTCCCACTATTGCATACTTTCTTTATCTGCACTATTACGTTTATAACTGTTCACACATCCGTTCATTATCAAAGACAAAAGAGCCAAAAATCACAAAATAATGCATCAAAGACTACAAACAAGACGTAATATAGCACAAACTTAATTACAATATTATCTCATTTACCAATTTATGTCATTTTTATTTATTTATGAAGCACTGAGTTCAACTTGACTAGACTTAAATTATAAGTCGACTGACTGAATCGAGCCGGCAATGCTTGCTTGTCTACTTTCCGCAAGATTTTCCAAAACATTCCCAATCTCGAGAAAGATTATGTTCATTGACAAAATCATGCATTAAAGACAAATAACAAGACGTAATATAAAGCTAACTAAATTACAATATTAACTCATTTACTAATATCTGTTACTGTTTATTTATTTATGAAGCGCTGAGTTCAACTTGACTCGACTCAAATCATAAATTGACTGACTAAATTGAGCCGCTATATTCATTCCGCAAGATCTTCCAGAACATTCCAAATCTGTCGCGAAGGTTCTGCGTACCTTGACGTGTCTAGTATGATCATATGACGCGATCGAGAAGGCGCAGCTTTTTCTCTCATGTTTTTGTTTAGTTAATCCAAACGTCTGGGTTCAATTAATTATGAAGCTTTGACAATATTTCGCGGCGCCTCTGTCAAGAGGCCGTGGCGCACAGTTTGCTAATGACTGAACTATGAAATATATTGAATGTAAGCAGTTTTGGTACAGGACTGTGTGTTAAATGCTAATGTTTGAGTGATATGCTTGAGCAAAGAGCGGTTATTGAACCATCTGGAAAATGTAGTCAATTAGACTGTCGGCTGGAGAACGGTTCTAAGCATATTTACATACTTTTCCCACTTTTTTAAAGATAATTATTTCAATCGGCCTTATTTACGTGGTTACGCAATCACATGTATTATCTAATATATTAAGAGGAAGCATTAAAAGAATGCTATAATGCAATGGTTGCTAGGGCTTTTTTAGTCTGACTTGGGCACTTACACAAGCACTTGGACACACACACTCAAATTCCCATAAAATGTCTTGATGAACATGAAAGAAAAACAAATCCTATTCTCTCTCCCCATTTGTATATTGGTTTTTTATTGTTGTTGTATGAATTTTATGCATACCGACGAGATTGGGCCAAAGCTTTTGTATAATTGAGATGTCTTTTCTATGATGTACGTCGAAAATCACATTCACTGTTGACAGATTCAAAAGTCCCTTCTGGACATTTGGACGCCTCATGTTGGTATGAATGACATAATACAAACACACTAACATGAGCATGTCGGGTAATTGGTTGTGATTGTGTCGAATCCTTGTTCACGAATGCCTTGGTGCTATTATTATTATTTAGCTTTGAAAAAGTATTCATAGAAAGAGAGAGAGAAAAAGAGAGAGAGAGAGAGTACAAATAGGCATGCTTTTCCAACAGCCTAGGCTAGTCGAGAGACAGTTTTGAGTCTGTACGGGGCCCGAAACTCCGACGAGATGTCAGAAATTTTTATTTTCGACATCATGTTCTTCTGAAACTGCACGTAGAAATTGGGATTTACCTTCAATTCGACACGAATAATACGATTTTATCGCCCTTAACAACGTACAAAAGACGGTGTCGAGAGGGACAAGGTGGATTTTGAAAAATATTTTAATAAATTAGTGATTTTTTATCGTTCATGTTGGTTGGAAAGGCAGCTAGAAAAGATTGTCAGACTGAACTGACGAGGTACTGAAGAATTTTTGCATGTCGACTTGAGCCGAAGAAGCCTCGGCGGATCGTCTTCTGCGTTTTATGCATTTCTGTTGACCTTTTGTTTGTACCACAGAGATAGATAAATGTGGTATAGACACAAAGTATGAATGGGTTTCGATGAATATATTAAGCTACAGTTGTTGGGAAGACTATAATTTCGTATTAAAATGAATGAACTTGTGTTATCATGAGACTTTTGACAAGAATTAGTTGCGAGTATGATGATGTCCGTCATTTGATGGTGGAAAGGTAATTCCATTTTCACGCGAAACGAAGAAGAATGTCTCGTGAACTGCATCATCGTGAAGTTGGTATTAAAACCAAACGTCTACAGAACAATGCAGATCAACAATAAATCGTTTTATCATACGAAATGAAATGAATCCCAAAATAAATTAGTTAATCAAAACGTATAAAGACCAAGATGATGTGGACGTTGGTATGGTTGAGGTGACTTTTCTTCGCAACATGAAGAAACGCATCTCGTCAGTCGTCGTCGACAGTGAAGTTGGTACATTCCCAGAACTTTTCTTGGCATCATCAGTGAGCCTTTTTCATTCTTAGCATCACACAACAACTCATCAAAAAAGCAAGCAAAGTTGGTCTTTTGCTAAACAGTTGTCGTATCTCTAATTCTGTCCTCTTTGACGAGTTATTGTGTGTTGCTAAGACTGACATGTCTATTATACAGTGGAAAAATCTGCGAATGTACCAAGTCCACGATCAAACTCTGGAACCTATCGTTCCAGATCTGCCTGACAATACGACCAAGTTGCGAAAACAAAGTAAAACAACTTTTATAAATCGGTTAGTTGAAGAAAAGAGGCATCTTGACTTATACACAAAACATGACTAATGGACATTACATTCATGGATACGAGAAAGAAACCCAATTTTCCATTTTCTATCTGAAAACGTCATCCTCGAGGCTCTTGCAACGAGAATTATGACTTTCAGAATCATCTAAAGATGACCTTACGACTACTTTTACACTCAAATAGAAGACCATAATGACCGTGAGTGAGACCAATTTACGAATCCTTTCTATCCTGTTTGTTAAACGAAATGAAAAATAGGACAACTGCAATTTATTGAAAGATTCGTTATGGAAACATGTTAATCCTTTTTCGCGACGGTCAGCTTTCAATGAATAAATGATCTTCGTTCTCTAAAGATACACCTTAGTTGATGTGTTGTTATGGTCGCTGAAATGTATTTTATCAGTGTCGAATTGAATAGGAATCCTCAATTCGACATTAAATGTCAAAAGTTCATGAACTCCTAGTAAACGATCTCGAACAAACCTGAATTGGTACTAAAATTTGTCTTCGTCTCATTCATCAAGTGTGTCAGTCATCCTAAATGTGTGTGTTCAGCAAAAAATGTATGTGCATGTTTCGTAAGTATCAGTCCACCATTGACGAGAATTTAGTCAACTCAGATTGCTTCAAGCGAGTTAAAGGCTGTAGTGGATATTTTTCCACAATTGAATGACTATGAGTGCCTCTCCTAAAGATAATTAAGGATTTAGCGAAGTTTTCGCAGCATTCTAAGCCAGAAATGTAATCAAATTAAATTGAAAC